AATTCGTATAAATAACTGCGGATAAACATAATCAAATAGAGGATGAATATCTCATTTTAAAATATAAAAAATCTAAAATATAATTAGAATAATTATCGAATTCCAACAAAATAAATAATTATTATCTTTATAAAAAATTATATTATTAAACCAAATATAAATTACTTCGTTACTGAACATAAATTAAATTATAAAAAATTGGATTAAAAAACTACACAAAAAAATGAGGAATTTCAAATAGTTAATTTGATACTAATATCGATATATTTTTGTCAAATTTTTATGATATCGTCAAACATATATTCTATTCAAATATAAAAACATCATCGCTTTCTCAAAATCACATAAAGCCATATTATACATCGACTGAGATAAAGAATAAAATGAAATATTAAAAACACGATGTATCTCGCTGCATTGCGCGAATACGCTTCTAGTTATATTATAAAGCATTTGACAAAAACTCTTAAAAATCATTTTTTATGTATGAAGTATTGTTTATTGATGCATATTACTTAAAATTCAAGATTACAAGTAAACTGTGTGTAAGTACAATTTATTAAAGCTTCATGTTTGAATTTGTGTAACTAACTTAAGATAAACACAATCAAATAGAGAATGAACATTTTATTTTAAATATAAAAAAACTAAAATATAATTAGGATAATCATTGAGTTTTAACAAAATACTTAATTATTATCTTTATAAAAAATTATATTATTAAACCAAAAATAAAAAAATTAATTATAGAAATACACAAAAAAAGAGAAATTTTAAATACTTAATTTGATACTAATATCAATATTTTTTTTTTGTTTTTTTATAATAGATTCATGTTTATGTTTTATTCAAAAATAAAAACATTATTTCTTTCTCAAAATCACATAAAACCGTATTATAACATCGACTAAGACAAAAAAAACGAAACACTAAATGTGCGACTACCCTTCTAGTTTTAAAAAAATCAATGGTTTATTTATTAAAAAATTCAATGGTTCATTTATTTAAAAAAATACTTATCATTAAAAATGTGAAAGTTTGTTTTTTTATAAACTTTTCATTAAAAAAAATTGACACGTTAAGAGACTGGTTCGACTCGTTACAATTAATTAAGGTATTCTCTTTTGAACACCGGTCAAGACCGAGACCGGTTAAAGGCTGTGTGGGAGGTCAGAATCGGGACCAAGACCAAATGGGACTGCTCTGAAAACCTTTTCAACCAGTTAACCAGTTTGCCATCTCTAATGTCCGGCAATGCCGATGGCAAGATAACAAAGTAATGGCTTTTTAGGTGAAGAAATCTTTTATAAAACTCAGAAACCATATATCGTTGGGATTCAAGCAAATGCCATTAAAAAGATTCAATACATGTTAAAAAGGGAAACACCCACTACAAGAATATCATGTTAAATGTAGGAATACCAAACATGTGTTTGTTGTTGAAATCATTACATCCAAGCCATAAAAACGTATACGAAACACCGGTCCAGTCCAATCTAACTCCTCAAGAATGCTGTCGTGGGGTGTTCTTGAAATCCAACCCGAGGGGCGAGCAGGTTTTGAACCGTAGCCAGTAACCACATTTGTCGATCACCCAACCAAATATTTTTAGGTGACCCATGAAACAAGGCTACAGAAGGGACATCTTTTTACCTGTGCATACATGATAATGTACAAATGATGAGCTCATAATCAAACCCTATTTAAGGGTGTTTGTTATATGCACCTCTGTTTATATCAGTAAAACCATACATATGTAAAAGTAAATCTTGACGTGTGTGAACAGAAAATTAGTAGATAGGGGTTAATTTAGCATGGGGGGAGGTTAAGTGCACCCCTATCGAGTGATTTTCTCAAAACTTGTTTTTTGCATTCTCAATGCATGACTTAACTTGATTATGACATTAAAAGGGATGCAAATAACATACCCCATTAGCATTGTATAGGGATGCATTTAACCTACCCCTTGCTATATGCACACCTATTTATGTCAGAATCACTTCAAATCATACATTAAAAATGTAAAAAGTAAGCTATATTGCGAATGAATATACATTAAAAATGTAAAAGGTAAGTTTTGATGTTGATATGTGAGAAGAAAATTAATGGGTGGAGGTGCATTTAGTAATATACAGGTTGCATTTAACCTACCCCTTGGCCCATGCTATATACACACCTATTTATGTCAGAATCAGGTCAAATCATTAAAAATGGAGGAGGCTAATTGCACCCCTATACATTAAACATGTAAAAAGTAACGGCTCGTTTACCAAACGCTTACCCGGGTAAGCTTACCAAGTAACATTATCTCACCGGATGAATATGGTAAGGACCAAGAATCTTACCCGGTAAGAACGAGACAATGACCAAGAGCCTTGCCCAGTAAGTGAGAGCGACAACTCTTACCACGGTAAGCGCTTACCGGGTAAATTGGTGCATACAATGTCGTTTTTGTGGACTAAAATCTTACCTGGTAATAAAATAATGGTGTTAAATTTTACCGGTAAGCACTTACCGGATAAGTGTCTGGTAAACGACCCTTAAGTTTTGATGTTGATATGTGCGAGAAAATTAGTAGACAGGGGTACATTTAGCAATGTATAGGTCTGCATTTAGCCTATTCCCCAATTTAACCCAACATCATAGAAGGGGTAGGCTAATTGCACCCCTATCTATTGTTTGCTCCTCAAACACATCAACATCAAAACTCACTTTTTACATTTTCAATACATGATTTAACCTGATTTTGACATTAAAGGGGATGTAAGTAACAATCCCCCTGTAAGTAAGCAACAGCAGATTAATTAAGAAACCGTGCGAGTCGTACCTGCCATGGCGCTAACAGGTAACATCTCGAAACAGCCGTTTTTTCTCATCGTAGAACCATCTGCAACAATGTTGTTATTGAATTATTATAATCACCGCTACAACCTTGTAGAAAATTAGAAACACAAAAGAAGATTTGATCCTGGCCTGTCTTAAACTAATTTAAGGGATGTTTGAATATTTTTTTTTCATTAAGCCCCATATATATCAAGTTGCCCATAAGCATTAATATGTCTGGATGAATTAAGATACATTGTTGTTCGATTTTTGTCCTGAATAAGTAGTTAGAATAACAGAAATTACCATTTGAACCTTATGTTATGTCTAAAAAGTGATGAATGGAAATTAATCGTTTGATTAACCTTCTGAAAGACAAAAAAATAAATTTTGTATGAATTATATAAAATAATATAGATTCAACGAGTTCATTACACAATACTTAATACCTTAAAATATATCTAAAACAATTAAGCATTATTGTTTAATTACATTTTTAATTTAATGCATTTGTGGGTATTTATGATGTGGATTAAAGATTGTAGGGCAAGAATAAATTTGGAAAAATTCCTAACTTAATGCATTAAGATAAGGTGTGTCAGCTTACCATGCTAAACCAATATCTTAGTATTAAGTTAAAATCAAACATATTAATATAGCTTAATCAATGAAGCTAAGCACCCTTTAAGCTATTAAGTTGAAATCAAACACCCCAGTAATTCTATTTCCTTCTATTGTTGTGGATGCAAGTTAATGTTGTCAAAATTATTACCCCCCCCCCCCAAGAAGCAGCTAGTTTAACCACTATATTGTTGTGGATGCAAGTTAATGTTGTCAAAATTATTACAAACCCCCCCCCCCTCAGAAGCAGCTAGTTTAACCACTGTGTGTGATACCACACAAAATTAAAGGTCTGTTACCAGCTTAATGAGCTTAATGGGACTCACAGCTTACTCGGTCAGCTATACATGAACACTTGGTAGTGGCTTAATGATATAGAAAGTGGCTTATTCAGTAAGCTTCTAGGGGGAGCTTTATGCAGAAAGGTAAGTTTTTTTTTCCAAATCTGCCCTTCTCAATTAAAAAACTCATTTCTTTCCATCTATTAAAAAAAATCCTCCCAGACTAAAACTTTCACAATTTTTAAAGACAAATTAATTCAGGCAGACAGCTTTATACATACATGACTTAGTGAAAAACCAACCAAACAGCAATGAAACTTGGCTGCAAAAGATTATGAATTTCAACTATATCATAAACTTTAATAAAAAATTATGGTGGGTCATTGATGGTTTCTGGAACTACTTTCATTTCATAAAAGTTGAAATGCAAATAATATATTTACTTTATTCAATTTAAAAATCTAGTGCTGGTTTTTCCAATCTTTTTATGGATGCATCTTAACTTGCCTCAATCAAACTGTAAGACGGTAAAAAAAAACATTTAGCAACAAAAGGAAGAAAGAACAAGACGCACTTGCATAGGAAAAGCGGTTTTGGCTTGTCACTGGTTGTTGTCCATGATCGAGTTTGCATCACTCGTTCTTCAGAAAGCTTGCATGGTGGAAAAACTTCACATGGGCCACGAATCAAGCCAGCTGCTAACGTTGTTTCATGGTTGGATTCATATACCTATGGAAGATCGCAACATGAAAGTTACGTCAGGTTTGGGAAATAAAATAAAATGTTTTGACTTATTGTTTATAATGTGCAAGGTGGAAGATATTAAATGCTGCAAATTGACCCAAAAAAAAGACCATGAAATGAAACCTTGATACGATACCACTACCCTTTAGTGTGTTTTAATATTGGATCCGAAGCCTATGTGAAACTTCTTGTTGGAGCTTGGTTTCATGGTTAAAAATTTTGAAGAAAAAAACAGACAAAAAAGTTTGGAGAGGCAAGAGGAGGGGTAGGTTGTGTTAGGAACCTCATTTTCATCAAGAACTGGGGGACCGCCCACAGCACGAGGGGTCACATATTCATCAGAAATATCGACGTGTTATTCATGAATGTCCGAATGTGTTATTCATGATGAATACTCATCCTGGATGTGTTATTCATGATGAAAACTCATCCTGGATGTGTTATTCATGATGAATACTCATCCTGGATGTGTTATGCATGATGAATACTCATCCTGAGAAGGGAATGTGGCACGCTATGGGCGGTTCCCGGGTTCTCAAAGAAAGACAGGTTCTCAACCGAACTTTCCTCGGCAAGAGGATATTGATCATATAACCCTCCTACCTCTATTTCTATCCTAAGTGAATGACATCAAATCGTGATTTGCCAAATGGTACCTAGAACTTCACCTCATTGCTTTCTGGAGCACATGGACGGCCAACACCCTCAGGCAAATCACCAGGAAAAAAACAGCGCGTCACAGTAACCCACTTCTTACTCGTCTTACTATCTTCCCACATACCCTGCACCAAATTCCTCTTACATAAAATAACCACTTAACATAAATATAAATGTCAACAGAAGAAAAATGACAACAATAAGAATGTATACATAAATGTACAACTTTCTATGACAGATGAAACAGATACAGATTTAGAGGCTGTTTGGTTGGTTTTCCATTAAGTCGTGTATAGATTATAATCTGTAGAGACTGGAAGGTTTTTGTTTGGGAGCATTTTTTAATAGATGGAAGGAGTGGGTTTTTTAATTGGCGGGGCAGGTTTGGAAGAAAAAAAAACTTGGCTTTCTGCATAAAACTCCCCTAGAAGCTTACCGAATAAGCCACTTTCTATATCATTAAGCCACTACCAAACAGTCATGTATAGCTGACTGAATAAGCTGTGAGTCCCATTAAGCTCATTAAGCTGTTAACAAACAGGCCCTTAGAAATGTGTGATCATTATACTTTTTGACTAACTAAATGACAATTTTACCCTTAACAATTAGGAGTAATGAATTTATCCATCTCATATTCAAGGGTGGAATCGGAAAGTATGGTAACACACAAGCTACTTACTTGTAGTTTATTAGGCATAAGATTGTTGCCCGTAGAGCTGAATAGAGCATAGTCCTGAAGTTGATATACAATTCCACTTATGCAGCAAGACCGATAAAACGATTTTCCATCTTCTTCATTTAGCATACCCCCGACCCATTCAACATCATGCATGCTATTTGATGAAGAACCTTCCTCCTCCCCAACTTGAGTACAAGTTTCACTTGTTTTGACCATATTACCCTTCTCAACTCCTTTCTCATCCTCCCTGATTTCACCTTTTGGGTTGCATTCTAAGGTATCTGTAGTGCTTAACATTCCTTCCTGGTTATTATCTTGATGGTTTCCAGTGGGTTGTAAATGGTCCGACAAACTGTTTAACGCCTCAGAATTCGCAGGCTTATGCGATTCCAACTTCTTCTCACATTTTTCTGAAGAAGACGTCTCAATTCCGCATTCACGTATTCCATTAATTTTCATATCCGTTGATCCGTTGTTATCCCTCATAATTTCACTAGGAACACTTTGGGAACCAGGGTTGCTGTTTGCCGTCATCAGTTGCTGATTGAATTTCTCATCGGATGATTGCAGTTTCTTCTCTAAAGACGGTTGAACTCCCGACATCCCGGAAGACATTTTTGGTGTACTTATGTTTCTCATAACACGACCATACTTAGGTGGCAAAGGTTTTCCGTTGCTGATTGCTAAACACTTTGCACAATGCCATTCATGCCACTCGTCTCCACAAATTGCTTTCGGATTACAATGCAGACATCTCAAGTGATACCCTCGTTCACAAGCATCGCAAACAAGTGCGGTATCGACTTCGTTAATCATACCCTTGCATGTTTGACAAGTCAACGCCTTGTTCATATAGTCCCTTGAAGGAGGAGTCCATGTGACACGCTCTGCCATATGTGGCTGTAATATTTTCTGAACAATTTTACTGATTTCATTGTGGGTGCCAACAACAGGAGATTGAACAAAGTTCATTCGATGTCGAACGTGATGATTTATGTTCGTCAAATGAGCAGATCCCTTATCTGATCCTGGTTTTGCAAAGGAAATAGATTGAGAATGGACAGACCAAGTTGGAGTATTTGATGTTCCGTGATCTCCAGCCGGCTTTGCTGCAAATTTGTGAGAAAGTTGTCACCAATTGATAAAGTATGAAACCAAGATGATTATAAACAAAGCTGTGAATCTATCCATATAAAACTTTTGTAAGGGACCTACTATTGAAGTCAATAACAAGTCACTGATACAGGATCCTAACACAGAAAAAGAGATCATTGGTTGAATATGGGGGTGTTCGGTTGGTTCCCATTAAGCCTTGTATGGATAAAGCTGTCTGTATGGATTAATCTGTCTGTATAGACTGGAAAGGTTTTTGTTTGGGAGGGATTTCTCATAGATGAAAGAAGCGTGTTTTTTGTTGAGAGGACCAGGTTTGAAAAAAACTTGGCTTTCTGCATAAAGCTCATCCCTAGAAAGTTACTGAATAAGCCACTTTCTATATCATTAAGCCACTATCAAACAGTCATGTATAACTGGCCAAATAAGCTGTGAGTCTCATTAAGCTCATTAAGATGCAAACAAAGTTACTTCATATAGCGTTTCAGTAAGTTTGCTAGCTTACTTTTGAGCTTATTGAAACAGTCCCATTTGGTAAGTCATAAGCTACCTTTTTAAAAAGTTACTTCATAGAGTGTTTCAATAAGTTGCACATGCTATTTTTCACTTTTTTCCTCCAAAATTTCAACATGTCTTTTAGATCATTTTCTGCTATCTAGCTTATCAGCTAATTTTTACACTAGTTTATGAGCTAACAGCTAGCTTATTAGTCAACCGTTACTATTGAAGTTAATAGTACTCAGAAACTCTGATCAAAGAGGTATCCGTATATCAACAAAATCAAAAAAGATTATAAAGGCATACGAACCGTTTGATATTTCCTCTGATCTGAGATGTGGTCTCCCACCCTGTGGAATGGGCAATGCAGTAGAATTCCTTCCAAGATGACTGCCAGGCAAGACATTGGACCCCCCGGGTCTTATTTCACTTGTGGGTAATTGATATGGTAAAGTTCTTGAATTGGAAACCGGGGAAGCATGAACTACCGTTGACTGATGCTGGAAGCTTCCAGAAGAAACAGGGGCATGATCCACTTTACCTGATGGAAACGTTCGAACAGAATGTGATGTTGAGCGAGATTCAGCCACCCGAGGTGTATAAGTAGCAGCATGTATTGGAAACACCTCAGATTTTTCCATCTGATTGAGGACGGAAACACAGGGAAGGATATTTCAGTGAGAAGCATATTACAGCAATCATAAATCATCAATACGGTCATTAATTTTGTAGAATTTAAAGTTCAAGCTTGATAATAGTGGGCATTATTTCATAGCTTCAATAATGGCGACAAGAGAAATCATATGATGGCACCAAAAACTGGAAACGGTGAAGCATAAAGATTAAAGAATCATTACTTATAAAAGAATACAACGAATCATGGTCGAACAGAGAATTTTGTACCATAAGGGGTTAAACCCTAACAGAAATAGCAAATTTTGCTCATAAAATCAACACATTTTGAATATATATATATATAGGGAGTCAGGTTCAGGTGAAACCATAAAAAAATGAAAAACTGAGAAACACCGTGATACTTATTCATCTGTACAATATGCATATATGCATACAAATAATTTATAAGTAACTTCTCTGGTATGCACATGTGCATACCATGCATAGAAACCAAGAAACAACTCCAATTATTTGTATGCACATGTGCAGATAAATAGTTACTACAGTGTTCCTCAGTTTTTTCATTTTTCGGGGGGGGG